AGTCAATCTAACCCAGATGGCTACTAGGTGACTAACGGGCAGGTAGCACAGATGGTGTGGAGATACTGAACAAAGGGATGATTCATGGCCTGGGTGGGATGTTGGGGAAGGCAAGAGATTTCATCATGTACTCAGAACGGTGCACAATTTAAAACCGATGAATTGTTTTATTTCTGGAATTTTTTATTTCATATTTTTGGACCATGGTTGGCTTCGGGTTACTGCAACTGTGGAAATGAAACTGCAGAAATTGAAACTGCTGATAAAGGGGGACTACTATGTAGAAACAGATTAAGGACAAAAGAACAAAATGTTTAGTGTCTATCGTGTTCCTTCCTTAGCTTTTCATTTTATATATGAGGAAGGTAACTGCGAGGTCTAATGTAAAAATTTACTACAGCAATGATCCAACTATTCCCCAAAGAGAATAGATACTATCTTCCATGAATAGATACTATCTACCTGCAAGAAACTTAATTCCAGGTAAACTTCTTGCTTCTCAGCATAATTCTGGTGCCTCCCCAACCGCCCAGCAGGTGGGTGCTCACTGGACACACCATCATTTTAGTATCAGCCCAAGCAAAGCAGGAAGGTAAATTCCTATATTATAGAAGTCAGAAAACACTGATATTCTGATATTAATTTTCAAATATAATCTGAAGCAGACTGCAAGGATTTAGGACAGGATGCCTTATAGTTATTAATGAGTAGGATGGAAAGTGGACTAGGTGCCAAGAGGCTCATTCTGATTGCCTCAGAGCTTCTGACTTGAGCAGAGTCATTTTTTATCCCTGGGCCTCATGTTCTGCATCTGTAATGGTAGGGCGTGGACTACCATTAAAAGTGAGTGGAAACTCTGAAGTTCAATTATTATTCCACATTTTCCACAGGATCAATACACTCTACTCAGCTTCATCCCCAAGGATGTGACAATTTATGTCTTTCTGAACTGATCAGTCACAAGATTAAAGATAACACTTTTGAAAGGATATGAAAGATCTTATTAACCTTTTTTTAAACAATAATAACTAATTTTTTAAATTTCAGAATATTACGGGGGTACACATGTTTTGATTACATAATTTGCTTTTGTACAGTCTGAGTCAAAGTTGTAAATGTGTCCTTCACCCAGATAGTGAGCCCTGTACCCGATTAAACTATCAAAGTAAACTTCTTTGGGAGTGGGATGGATTTAGAAAGTTTCAGTGCCTCCTGACAGAGATTCAGGCTTCTTGCCTTGTCCAGCATCAGCAACTTAACTGCACTGATTTGTGTTATATATGACTTTCTAATACTGATTTCTCTTTTTCCTGTCGACTCTCCAATTTATAAAAATGTGTATAATTGTTCTGCTGCTGCTTGCTGCTTTTGCCTGCTTTGGCTGCTGCATATACAGGTGAAGATCTGGAAAGAAATGATGGATCTACAGAAAAACCCTACTTCATAACCCCTAACCTGCATGGAATTCTGATCAAGAAGCAACTGGTTCCCAAGAAACAGAAAGAGTAGAAAAGCTCCAAACAGTGTCACTCACTTTTAAGTAGAAGTTTTGTAAATTAGGTCAATCATAATTCAAAAATGTTGCTTTTCAGTAATGTGAAATTTTTGTGCTTATGTCTAAAATGTAAGCACCTGGTACCATCTGAGGTGTCAGGCATTTGATGACAGCAGTTTCTGTCAACTTTTAGACTGTGGTCCCAGCTGAAGAACAAACTGTTAATGTTAAATATTTTTAAAAATCTATAGCCAAAAGTGTTTTAATAACTTTTATAACTCAGTGTGCTACTTGTATTGCAGCACTTTGATAGCCTTTCTTTTTATAAGTGTATATTTGTAAAGGATATTCAGGCAATTTTTAAAAACACTATAAATGTGTAATCAATTAGCCATAAAAATATTGATTTATAGTTAACCAGCATATGGTACTAAATTTGTAAATATGGTGCTATGGTTATATTTATACTGTTCAAGATGGTGGACAACCCTCTAAACTGTGATTAAGCTTGTGTTAATGGTCCTCTAGGAAGTATATTTCAGTAAGTGAGTCAAGTCCATAACAGACATATAGATGTTAATGTTACATAGGTTCTACAGAGAGCAGTACTGGGTAAAAATTACCGTGGAACCTTTATAGCACATTCTGTTTAAGTAAAATTATATTTATATCGAAGTTGAATCTGAGTTCTGGAATGTCATTTCCAATAATATGAACCTCTGAAAATATTCTGAACAAAACTGAAATTGCCACATAACTCATGACTTTTGTTGCTATCCCAAATTTCCTATTTCTACCATATAGAAGATCAGTGTGAATTTGTTTGAGAAGAGTGATTATATCTTTTCATGGGCATACTTGTATTTCTAGATTAAAGAGATTGTGTGGCTTTGTTCTACAAAAGGTTTAATTTTAGCTCAAATTTCAGTGAAGAAAAAGGAAAGAGAAGTATGACCCTTCAAATTTTACTCTGAGGAAATACACCATTGGCCCTCCATTAATTAGGTACCTCATCTGGTACCTTTACAAGGGGCATACTTTGGGTTAGGAAATCTCTCCCTCCAGGGCTTAGGAGGAAAGTTGTCACCACACTGCACACCTGCTGGCCAGAGGTTTCTGGCAGCCATGCCTAAGTCTCGCATGACAGAACAAAGCATGAATCAGACACTCATAGACCTTGCCTATCCACCCTGTGTGCAAATGCGTACGATATAGCTAACAGTGTAAAAAAGCAACCCAAAAGGAGCACTGAATCAACTTCCATCCTTTTGGCTTTTACACTAAGCTTGTGTACAAGGATTATTTATGTATTAACAGAAAGGAACATGTTGCTCTAATGTGTTGAGTTGAATATGATCCATACATCCAAGAAAAGTCAGAAACGTATTATCATGTTACAAATTAATATAAATACTAGTTTATTTAATTATCCTCAAGTGTAGAAACCTAGATTTAGACCAACTCCATGGCAGATTAATACCAAGAAGCCAATGAATGGAAAATATTTTCAAAATATTGGTCCTTATAATGACCACCAACTTGTTCTTAGCTTACTTCCTTGAGATTATTATAGTCAGAAGTGTCACTTGGCTTCATATCTTGGCAAAGAGCCTAATTCCTTCTAATTCTCCTTGAAGCATAAAGCAGGGAAGAATGATAACTTCTCTTTCTGGATTATTATTATTATTTTATTCAACAATACAGGGGCCACAACAAAGAACTAGTAGAATAATAACCTCTACCTGAGAACTTGTTTAAATATAGATACCCATGGCCCCCCAGCCAAGAGATTCTGATATATTGTGTTTGGATGTGGGCCACCATGTGAATTATTATAAAGTTCTCGATTTCATTCTGATGCACATAAAAGTTGGAAAAGCGCTTGAATAAAATATAAATCAACGTGTAAGAAACTAGTTGCCTATTTATATTATGGTATTTCTAGTAAGAAAAATATTCTCCATTACTTTTCTGTGGAATTAAAATACATAGAGCAAAATCGAGTGTTGTTTTTGAGAAGAAATGTAGAAGCCATTTTCTTACAAAGCAATTAAACTAATAGCTGTGGCAAACCAGGACAATGTTCCTCAAAACTTGCAGTTCATGGATTTGAAATAGTATAAAATTTTACAAGTCTTATTTTTCAAGGCTGTACTATCTAAATTGTTGATGGTAAAATAAAATCCATTTTGAACAAATATGGTAATTTAGAAAGTAAATTGAGAAAAAGAAGGTAAAAGTTATTTCCTCAAGCATGCAACTAAGGGACATACAATATTAGCAGAATCTTACATGTTACACAGAATAATATAATACCTTACTGATACAATAACAAGGGCTGATTGTTTTCTCATAACTATGTTTACAATAATGTCGATGCCAAACTATGCTGTTTAAAAAAAAAAAAACATTTTGGACTGCTGTAAAGCAAGTATGCAGCAGATGGCGATGTTACTTCTCCTACAGTTTTGCTTTAATATTTATTCTGTGCCATTCTTCCTCCTAGTGGACGATTTAGAAAGAAACGATGGTTCTACTACAAGACCCTATTACGTGAGTCAATCTCTGCTGAAGATTTTCCAGGATAAAAATGCACGAACTAAGAACAAGTAGAAGAGCAAACTGGTCATCCTACAGCGGTGTGTTACTCTTTCCCCATCTGCTGTGTCTGTGCAACTCTCCTTTCATAAGTGCTTTGTGTTTAGCAACACTGTATTCATGACCTTGTTGGCTTGTATTTGCATGTTTTATACCAAAGCTTATACTGTAATATGTGAAGCCATCAGAAGTCGCAAGGGAATTGTTAAGAACATGAAACATTTTTATACTAAGACTTGTGTTTTGTAATTCATTTTTAAATAGAGTGGCTTGGATGTTTCGAAAATACTACTGAATATGTTAATATTCTTTTAAATATCGGATTGAAAAATGATACATTATTTAAATTGATAGCTCCTAATGTATTTTTTAAATTACAACAAAAAGACTTCTTCTGCAGGGAAAATTGGTAAACAAAGTGAGATTAAAAAGTGTAAAGCTTTTGCCAATCCTATTCGACAGTAAATCAGTGAAAGGACCTTCCCGCTCCAGAGTTGCTCTCTTTAAATATAGAATGTTTCCTATTAGACAAATTGCCAATCATGCAGCCTTTACTGCTTCGTCCTCTGACAAAGTGCCTTACTGGCTGTCTAACATTACCTGGCTTTTGTGGGCAAGTTTACAAACACTGTTTAAAAAAAAAAGTAAAACCTGCGATGTTTAGTGATTGAAACAAGTCTTGCATTTGTTTTCCTCTTAGCTCACTGGTTGGAAACCATTTGTCATTTCGGTATGTTTGATATCCTTGTTACTATAGAGTACATTGTGCAGCTAAACACTTTCCCTTGCGCCTAGTGGACATTCATGAATGTGTACTATACGCGAGAAAAAAAATCCTGAAAGGACACTTGTAGGTTTTCTTTGATTTTTTACTAAAAGAGAACTTTAAAAATATAATCTTTTCTACAGTAGACCTTTGAAAATACGATAAGTATAATACTGCATTTCTCAGTGTTTTACATAGGTTGGAAAGGGAAACTTCTAGGACTTACAAAGGGAAACTTCGCGCCCTCAAAAGGATGCTCACAGATGTCATGTACTGAATAGCTCCATTTTAAATGACCATTTATTTTCACTAAAGCCTGTTCTGTGTATATCATTTCATTTTTCAACTTTTGATATTAAATAATCAGTTTACTTATATTTTAATTTTATTGTGCTAATAAACAAAAACAATTTCTAATTCAGTTTTAAATAGTTTTACTAGTACTATCAACTTTTAAGGAAATTAATTCAATCCATTACTCAGTGTTACAGAAAGAGTCCATAAAAGTATTCACCCTAATGGAATGTCAATCACGTAATGACAATTTGTTAATGTTTTGAGAATCGATCAATAAGAAGTTACTATCAGTTTATCTATTATCACATTTGTTTAAATGTGACTTTAGATACTTTTATGCCAAAAATAAACTCATATGAGCACATGACAGTCTGAGCTCTATAATCAGTGTGCTTCTGCTGTGCAGAAATATTAGGAAAATATTGTCTAAATACCTTTGATAATTGAAATGTTTAATATTTAATGAAATTTATTGTTACTCATTGTTTAAAATCTATTTGTTTTTTCTTTTAATAAAGATTTAGATAAGAAAGAACTGTCTGACTTTTTATTTCTTAAAGCTAAGAAAGCTTTTGTTTTTAAAACCATACTATGACAGCATTTTCCGTGTACCAAATATCTAAGGTTTTTTTAAACATCTAGATTTATCTTTTAAAATTTCCATTTTTCTCTAGCTGCACATTGCCAAATCAAATAACTGAAACTGATAATTTATACAAACTTCATAGGTCAAAGGTAAATGGATAAGAGATATATTTTTTAAAAACCTAAACAATGGCCTAAATAAGTTAGTTGGTCTTTGTTTTAATTTGCCGAAGGTTTGCTCAGTTCCTCATTTGGCTTTGTCAAAATTCATAAGAAAAAAAAAAGTCATCATTTTCAAGGCAAGGATAATTTAGAGAACCTTAAAAATGTCAACACCAAATGACAGTAGTTTTCTAAAGCGAGATCAATCATACCTTTCACTGTTTTAGGCTAATTTTTTCTTTAGGTTCAAATATTCCTTAACAAATTATGAGTTTCTTTCAAAGAAAATATAAAACAATGTGCTTGCAGTTTACAGGGTTCTTTTAGAATATTTTAAATCTAATAATATGTTTGTTGATATAGCTGATTCATTTTTTTACTGGAAATAAAAATATAGTTTGATTTCCAGAAGAAATCCACATTCTGCGTTAGCTCTTAGTAACTCTTACTTTTAGATGATAAAGCACTTATCGTAATTGTAAATAAATTGTATAAAATTGTACTGTGATTGATTTGGTCTTTCTATGTGCCTAAAAAGCTCAGAAAGAGTTTGTGTCTCCATGTAGTAAAATAAGACTATGAAAGATTCTGTGGGATCATCAGGGGTAATGCAATTGTTATTTAAAGTGATACTGGAAACAGGCTTTGTGTAACTGTTCCTTATTTTTCTTTCAGTATAATACATGGCTGACCAGCACCCATTCCAATGTATGTTCTTTCACTTTTACAAGTGGCGCCTCAGGAAATTGCTCTTAAACTCTAACCAGGCATAGTAATTATCTCTAGTATTATCTGGTTCTGGATTGGGGAACATGCTTTATAAATCAGTCTTTGTTGGCATAAGATAGGGGACAAAATTGAACTAAAATCATTATTGCAGACCATGGTGTATGAAATGGTATCTTAACGTTTTTTCCAGTTTCTTGCAAACGTTATCCTTAGATGTTTGCAAATTTTTTTTTTAAAATATAGCTATACGATTACAAGAATACAATAAATCAGTAAGAAATA